GTATCATGACCACAATATCGTGATACGTATCGTATCATGACCACAATATCGTGATACGTATAGTATCATGACCACAATATCGTGATACGTATCGTATCATGACCACAATATTGTGATACTTATTGTATCGTCATGTTAATGTATTGTTGCAGCCCTACAGAGTATTTCCAATTCATGTAATGGGTTTTTTACTCACCAAAAAGGGTGCACAGGTAAAGGAAAAGGTACTAAAGGCCTGAAGGTATGCATATTTCTTAAGGATGTCCAATTCTTCATTTCGCAGTTCCAAAATTTTTTCCTGGAATGATGGTTCCCAGGCATAAAGCTTCAGGACCTGTAGAATGGAAGATAATTCATAAATATAGGGGACATCATCATAGTATTAAAAGAGATTCACATATATTTTAATGGGAGACAATTCATAGTAAAAAGGGGAATAACTGTGTAAAAAAATGGGAAAGACATGACTGCCTATCATTGTTTTTTTTAACTCTCTTTTGAGGTTTGCTTATACAATACAATGATAGGTCAGGTCTCCAGTTCCTGCCATTAAGATTGGCAGATCTCTAACAGGGAGGCTTCTTTCAGAGATGGTGTCTGGCAATTTTCCTGGAAAAAGTCAAAATTCTTCTTACATCACTCCTATCTAGTTCACTGTGAATTGGTCACTTACTCACAACAATGGTTTTGCCATCATGAAAGACAGCGTTCCGCATACCTTAGGTATAATTGATTTGACTGTTTAATGCAAGAATGTTTGTTTTAAATGGGTGCTGGAAAGATAGATTACATTTAATCTCACCTCAATGATCAGGGAACAAGGACATGTCAGTGTACATGGTAAAGTAAGAAAACATCAATTCTGACAAAAACAACACACAAACAATAAAGAGGAATATAATTATCAAGCCTTTGTATATTAATTGTAGCTAGGTCAGCATAAATACAGTTCTAATCAGATTTTTAAAAAAATAAATAAAAAAAAATGCAAATGTTATAAATTTGAACACTATTTTTCCTCCTTCAATGAACAGTTCTGACACGTGTTCTGCAGGCGGAGGTTTCCTTTTTAACTATCTCAATAAAACTGAGAAAATGTCTTACAGGAATCATTGCTTTAAGTCTGGCCTTACCTTCATCCCATTAAGGACTTCACTCATCAGTTTGAGACGCTTGTCTTTAACTTTCATGAGGTTCACCTGAAGTTTTCGCTGTTTTATGGAGATAAACATGTTGAGCGGAATGAGGAGGATCATGACACCCAAACCTAGAAAAATAGCAAAAATAAATAAAGAACACTTCCAATAGGGCAGTTATTGAATAACACTATACTAACTGTGAAAAATATTTGCCTTGATGCATTTATGGAACCGATGGGAAAACCAAGATGGCCATCTAGAATGAAAGAGTTAATTTTTGTTTGCACTTTTTGTTAAAAAGGATCTTTTTAAAATTTCATACAAAGGTTTCCTATTGGTCCCTAGTTAGGCATATCAAATTTTGAGATTGATCAGAAAACCAAGACGGCCAACAGGTAATGTTTTCAGGAAAATTGGTGCAAATTAATCTATTAACCCTTTCAACCCCATGTAACCTAATGTAGGTAAGTAGACTCTATCATGCATTGATCTGGATGAATCCATTATGGTCTACAGTGGTGAAAGGGTTAATATTAACTCGGTCACAAAGTACTATCTTTCAGAATATATTCAAGACTTAAGACAACAACAGGAATTTGAATAGCCAAAATAACACTGATCCAGCCAAAGTAACATATCGCGCACTGATCTAGCCAAAATAACACTGATCTAGCCAAAATAACACTGATCCAGCCAAAATAACACTGATCCAGCCAAAATAACACTGATCTAGCCTACTGGTGTATACAATATCTTTCACCATGATGTTTAAAGTAATCTTTTAATGAGAATGTATTGACATCATGCTTCCTCTGGTGGTGTGACTTAAGGATTCCAGTAAAAATGAAACACTACCAAAAACTGTAACTCTGAATTAGAAACTGATTCCAGCAAACCTTGTGACCTTTTTTATGATTTTTTTTTGTAACTCATTCACCCCTGAAGACACATTTGAACTCTACAAATTTAAAGGTTGGAATTGTTCATTATGAAATTTCAGGGGTGAAGGAGTTAAAGAACAGAAATAAACAAATAAACAAGATCCAAACCCTGTACCTCTGATAACTTAATTACCACCAGATCTATAGCTACCTGTCAACGGTAGTACCCTAACCTAGGCAATCTATATTTTTATCCAAAACAAAATTCAGGGTTAGGCTACCGTATATAGGAAAAACACAGTGCAGTCGGACAGGGATCCTTAAGGAAAAGGGTAGGTGACTGTATATAGGATAAACCACAGTACAATAGGACTAGGATCCTTAAGGAAGTTAAGGTGAGGCTACTGTATATAGTAAAACCACAGTGTAGTGAGACAGGGATCCTTAAGGAAGTTAAGGGAAGGTGACTGTATATAGGATAAACCACAGTGCAGTGACACATGGATCCTTAAGGAAGTTA